AGATCATGAAATACAGCAATTGTTAGAGGACTTGTAGCCACTGGAAAAAAATAAAGTTGTGTCTTAATATTTAAACATTTTATAAGATAATAAGTAAACAGCAGGATTACATAATAAATGGATATTAAAGAAAAAACAGTAACAGCATGATCTGTGGTTCAATACTAATAATTGTGTTATTCAACATGAATATAAACTATAGCAATCAAGATAACATTTAGTGAAAAATCAAAATGCAATAGTCATGTAAATACAGCAACAAAGCTGAATTCAGGACACCTGATTGTGGGTACATCTACATGTGCAATTAATGCGAAGCAATAAACTCTGGAGCAGCTTGAGCTGGGGTGAACTCCAGCTCCTGGGAGCAGCATCTACCTGTGAGCCTGGGACAGCAGCAATTTGAGCTGAGGCAGAGCAGGCCCCCTTCTGGCTGGGCTTACCGGGCACAATTTATGCCCATGGTCACCATCTACATACGCCTTTCAGTGAAGTAAATTACCCTGCTGTAAGATATTACTGTCTCTGACAGTACTATCTTACGGCAGAGTTAATTAGTTTACTGCACCCTAATACTGGCGCATATGTGAATGGTAATGTTTTACTGTGCAACTAATTAATCTACTCTGCAGTAAAACATGCATGTAGATGCACCCAGCATCTGTGTGCACCATTAAGTTGCTTATAGGCCTGAGCTTTTTCAGGGGCTGGCCAAGGCCCCAGAATGAATTTTCATAGGAACTGAGAACTATCAAAGACCTCACTACCACTGTTATAAGTGCATATAGTTCTATGATCTTGCATTATCTAACATAAACTTTCAGCAACATGAGTTCATATGATCTTTGAAAAGTTTCAAGCAAACCACTACCGCACATGCTTTCCCTCTTGGGGGAGAGGATGAAAGAACAAATGTGTCAGATGTCAATCATGTTGCTTAATGCACTAATGGAGGGTGTTCAGATGCTCTGGTAAAAGAACCTATGTAGAACAGAATAGAAATAATGCTTACCCAGTTTGTAAAGCACTTTGATATCAAATGAAGATATAAGTCCAAGCACTTTATTAATATAATATTTATCAAATTCCTGGAAGAAGAGGTGAATAGTGAGGTGTCAAATTTTGAAAAAAAAAATTAGGATTAGTTTAAAATAGCACCTAGAAAGACAAAATGATGGAAAACCCAACAAACACAAACATAAGGGACAGTTCAATCCAGTCTTTCAGCCTGACAGATACAGCTAACTCAGAACCTAACAAAGGCAAATTTTAGGTGTCAATAAGGACAAGTCAGCAAAAATATTTATCATACACACTGTGAGAGTGGAAGCTATTTAAAAAGGGAAGAAAATTGATATGAAAAATATTATTATGCCATTTTGCAAACAGATGCCATATCCTGACTTTTCACCTTAAAAACCATAGAAAGTTACAGAAAACATATCAGAAAAATATGAAGAGTCCAAAAATGAAGAGTGACAGATTACAGGCATTAGAGTTTTTCGATAAGAGATGGCAAGATGAAATATACATAAATAGAAGAGAAAGTTGATCAGCCATAGGCATTTATTTATTCTTTCCTGGATTTCAAAGAAACCTCAAGGAGCCATGCATCAAAACAAAAAGCCAGTGAATTTGCATGAATAATGAAAACATTGTTTTAGATATGTATAATTAACTTATGTAACTCACTGTCCTGAGATACTATGGAAGCAATTTTAAGTATAAGACCTGTATTGGAATATGAACAAAATCCTCTACTATATTGGCTGGGACTAATATAGCAACACAATTCCCATCTTTGTACCTATAAAGTGATCAAATAGTATAAGGAGCAAATTTTACACAAGATATACAACTGCACAATTAAATGAAATTGAAGTTTTTCCCACTGTAGGGCTAGGGACAGACATTACACATAAACAGGTTTAAGTGGTTTAAACCTATAACAAAACAGATTTTCAGTGTACATAAACCAATTTGAAAATGGCTGAAACCAGTTTGAGATAAACCCGGTTAAATGTAGTAGAAGACTTAACTGATTTGGGTCAAACTAGTTTATGCAATGTGTGTCCCAGACCCCTTCCTGGTTTAACTTAAACCAGAGTCCCCCAGCATCCCAGATGCTTTGCAGCTCTCAGCAGGGCTCTCTGCTTCAGAGCAGAGCTGGCTCTGCCCCTCTGCCTGGTTTCCTCCTGCTCCCCCCTCCCCGCACTCCTTGTTCAAGCAGGGATTCCCCCTCTTCCCCCTCCCACAGCACGGACCATAGCTAGCATGTGGTATGCTAGCTAATGCTGAGAGATGTCTGTGTAAGGCAGACAGGACAAACGCAGATAGGACAGTGTCCGCTTAGGACTTTTTGGAGCTAATCAACAGGTCAGCTGGTAATGTTCCTCCATTCTTTCCTTGCAAAAAAGTGTTTAAGAAGAGCTTGAACTAATGAGAGAGGCTTTTGTTTTCTTGATGGCCTGATAAACACTGTGTTATCAACTGCCTGCTGGGCTGGTCAGGAGCAGCATGGGGAAGAGGAGGGGTGGAACCCCTCCCTAATCAGAAAGTCCTGCTAGGGTCTGGCCACACCCGCTTCAGCTCAGCATTGTGGAAGGGCAGGGAGGGCTGCTTTAGCACTCCCCAGCTTCTAGCCTGAGCCACTGCAGGCATATGACCGTATTTTCTCAGTCCAGAGGGAATGTTTGTATGGTTAGAAACTGGTTTAGCCTAGCCAAGTTAGACTAACCTGAAAAGACTGAATCAATTCAGGCTCAGGCTTTTTGAATGTCTTTCCCTAGCCTTGAGAACAGGATGCAGGGCTATTCAACCTTTGAGCTGATTTAATAGGGCCTTTCCCATGGCACTAAGAATCAAGTCATCTATACAAAAGGCAAACACAATGATCTGAAAAATAGTGCTTGATTTTTGCAAAGCTAAGCAGGATTGTGATAGTGATTACAGTTATCTTACTCCTGTATAATTGGGTTTTGTTAATAAAATTGGTTATTGCCTACAGTAGTATTGCACAGTTAAGGGAAGGAAAGATAAGGCAGTGTGGGAGAAAGGTAGAGTTACCAGTGTGCACAAATACATGACCCTGCCTCAGTCTCAGCACTTACTACTAAGACTGTAAATATAAACTGACAATTAAATGAGATGAAAAGACCACCTACAACAGTCCCATCATGGGTTATAGGACACAGATAGTCCCATCATGGATTATTTCTTTTGCAGGATCTCTGTTAACTTTATGAGAGCTTTAATAAATATATAATATGTTCAGGAATTATATACTATAATTAGGAACTTGTTTGAAATTATGTGATATGAAACTCATAGCTTAAATAACATCCAAACACATTTCGGATTGAAAAACTCAAGCAAATTACATTAAGCACAAAAACCCTGAAAATGAAGAATGCCAACTATATTTAATAGTACAATGTAATAAGTGCTACTATTAAAAAACATTTTTACTCAGGAAACTATTTAAATACTACAGCTTCATAAAATAAATTGAAGTTAAAATTCTTGATCTTAGGAGGACCTTTATAAAAAGATGAAACTGAATTTAGATATTTAATTAAAATTCCTATAACTGTTTCAGAGATCAGCAATTTAGTTAATATAAGTCTTTTTATGAAGCAACTGAGTCATAGTTCATGTGAGTTTTCAGACATTAAATGTTTAATTGCTTAAGACTTCATGAATGATATTGCTCAATTAGGAATACTAACTTCCCCAAAGAGTCACAATAATGGTTACAACTGGCTCTGCTTACCCTTAGGAGTGTGTCATATAACTGCTCTGACAATACCAAGCTCTGTGTTCCTCACTGTGGTGTATGATACCCAAATCTACAGAAAAATGTAGAGTTCTACTTCAATAGAATAATTCAGAAAATTACCCTAAAATGAGACTCCTTGTATGTAAAGTGATTTTTTACAATTAGAAAAAATTATCTACATTCTAGAGTCACAACTATAAAAACATTTTGTACTGTAATCAATTATGTAACCATAGGAAAATTCACCTTTTCATTTTTAAAGGGAAATACACTCTTCCCTGACTAATGACCTTGTGCTGTTCCTTGAACAAACTTTTTCTTTAATTATATATGATACATTATATAATTTTATCACACCACTGTTCTGAAATGGTTAGTCTGGCTCAGCATTAGATGCAGTGGCTGCCTCCACTTCTTTTTGACACTTCTTTAAGTAAATAATCCTGTTTTTCCAAGTGAGCAATCTTCTGAACCAAACTCAGGTCCGCCCTTGAACGAACTGCTGTGATGTACTGCCCCCATTCTCCTAATATATCTTTCCATTCTCATTTGTTAGTCTTAGGAGCACTGTTGCACCAGAATGACCCCTCCTTTTAAGACCCAGCAAAGAAATTACAGCTTGTATTCTTCTTGTTGAAGTATGCAGGTTGTATAACCAATGTATGAACACACCCTTTAATGGTATTGAGCATATCAAAATTTCTGCCACTAAAAACACTCAATCACTTGTGGTTTGTGCTGGGCAACCTAAATTGTCTTTTTATCTGTGTGGAACTGACCAGGGGCTGACAATAAAGGCTTTTCTGTACAGTCACTGGTGAGTTTTAGGGAAGATGGAAAATGAAACCGAGAGCCTCCTGCCCACCTGAATCTAAACCTGCTCTGATTTGCTGGAGAGTGAAGACTTGACAGGGGCACTGGGACTGACTCTGGAGCAGCCCCACAGGCAATTTCTGATTCTGGAGTACATCAGTGGGCTTGTGTGAGCAGACAGGGAAAAAGGTGTCTTCCAACCTGTCCTCCCCAAGCTCCACTGCTGACATTTAGGCAAGGCCAATATTAGGAAAAAGATCTCTGTGGCTACAGTGCATAAGATCTACACACAATCTTTGAGGTTTTCACTTACCTTTAAACTCCATGCGATGGTTGTTGAAGGCAATATATTTACCAGCAAACAATGTAAGCCTTACAATATGAAAAAAGAGTCTAAACATCTGCTTACCTTTCTGAAAGAACTCTTCCAGTTTATCTTTGAAGGGCTGGAGATGTTGTTCTGAAGATTCTCTACAAACCACTCTCATTTGCTTTTCACAGGCTACAAACAGAAGTTCAGGGTTAGATAGTTTGAAGCCACATATTTAACTGACAACCTTTAAAAATAATCATATTATTTCTAAAGCAACTCATCTACCATTCCATATTTATCAAGCAATAATATTTCATACTTGTTCTAATTGTATAAGAGTTAAAAAAAAACCCTATCAGCCACAGTAACTGCTGTAGTGTGATGTAGCAATGAAGTTCAGGAAATGTCCAAGAGGCAATGAATTTTTTATTGGACCAACTATATAGTTGGGAGATCTGATGGACTTAAGTTCCTTTAAATAGCAACATTTTAGTTTATTTGCCTTGGAATTCAGCATTTGTATGATTTGCTTGTAGTACAGCTGGGTGAAAAACAAAGGGCTTCCCTCACTGCAGCATTAGCTTCAGCATGAACTTGAGTTTTGCCTCAGTCTAATTCCTGTAATACACACTGCATTTTACCGTCAAAGGGAACTTCACACTCAAGTTTTCTGGCCTTCTGTGGGATGGGCATAGCACAAGCAGGAGGAAGACTATGTCATTATTATGCATCTGTTACCTAATCTACCAAATAATTTAGGTCCTGATGCCATCTCATTTCCTAGAGAATTCAAATTAATTGCTACAAAATTTAAGCATTGCTCTGGGATGTCTTAGTAGACATTGCAGAATCCTGGGGTCCCCGGTTATAAGAAAAAAGCTCAACAAACAAAACAAAACAAAACAAAACATAAAGCAGTACTCAAATATTTTGCATCAAACAATGCAAAAAACTGCAAGCAAGTATTTTTTCCTTTTCTCCCTTATACCAAATGTAGTTTCCATGAGGTTAATTAAGATGCATATTTATTGCATAACTAAACAAAAGAGTTATTGCATGCAGATTAAAATAACAAGCCAGCCAGCTTCTCTCTAGTTTAATAATTCATTTTATTCCTAAAAATTGAGTATAAAATGTAGTTGCACAAGGAGAAAATGTGTAATTTACAAAAATTGTCATGTTAATATAAGTCACATTTGTGGCTTGCAATACAGAGAAAGGAGTTGCCAAAAGATTGTGAATACATACATGCATTTTATTGTACAGCTAGTAATAGAGCCCATGATACATTTGGACCACCAGAACTACTTAAACAAAGAAAACACTCGAACAATTTAATTTGAATTTTAGCTAAAAACAAAGAAACCCAAAACTACGTTAAAAAGAAAATTCTAACATTGTCAGAAAAATATTGCCTTGATATTCATTTCTGCACAAAATGCTTACAAGAAAATATCTAGTCCATCCAAAAGTTTTATATATTTAATTTCCATGGCTTAAATAAACAGAGTTTAAAAGTATTAAGAATATAGCTATAGAGAAAGTCTTACCAGATAATCCATATTGTCTTTTTCTTACAGACTATGTTTTAATTAATCTTTAAGCCCCAAACTTGCAAGTTATAGCACAGCATGGATACTTGAGACTTTGCAGACTGAAAGCAATGGGTATTTGCTTGTGCAGATGTTATACAACAGCTAGCTGTCAGACTGAAACTTTAACTTGCACACGTGCACAGAAACACATGCATATATATATAATATAATATAGATAGATATAGATACATACGTATTGTCTTTAGATATGTATGTATACATGCATATAATATATATATCTACATCGATACCTATATATCTATTATATGTATGTATACATACATATCTACAGTAAGCCCTTTCTTGCCTGCCCAGTTACAGAAAAAGACTGTAAAACAAATGAAGGGAATACATTAGAAGACAGAAAATAATTCTCAGCATGGAAATATTATTTTCTTTATGACATGAGCTTTTGCCACTAAAACTTGAACTTTACATGGCTGTGGAAATCTATTGAATGAAATTTATTTACATGCTGCATTTCAGTTTATATACATGGAATGAGGTTCCCACAGTTACTCAGACAGATTGTAATATTTTATTTGTGGACTAGACAGGGATTCTGTGAATTGAGCAGGAAAAAAATCTAAACAAAATACTTGAAAAAGCATTTTTAAGTTGTCTTATTAAAGGCTGGCACAAATTAGAAGCTACAATTTTGTGGCTACTTTTCCTGTTTATTTTTAAAAAGAGTCTAGACAGAAAATGCCACATGAAGTAGATTTTAGCAATGATTTCAGTTAAATATAAAATGACAAAAAGTGTGAAATGAGTAGTATATGTATTTCAACTTTTTAAGCTATGATGTGGCATGCTGGCTGTGTTTTAAGGCATCATTTAAGAACATTAGCATTACAGGAAATTATGTTAAGATAAACAGCAAAAACACATTCTTATTACATGTGTTTATTATATGGTGGTGATTAGTTTATTATGTGGTCTCTCTGGGCACACTTTATATATGCTAGAATGATACCAAATAACAGCTCTCCCAAGCAGATGGCGTACATTATTGTTTTTTCAAGTATTCAAAACCATGTTATAAGCAGGCCCCTCAAGCAGTACAAATTAAAGGGTATCTGGTTTATCAGGTATAGGAGTACATTACCACTCCTCCAAATAAATTGTTTAAAAAAATGATGGCTAATAGAGAAGACTAAAAAAAAAAAAAAAAACAGGTGCTAGAAGTCACAGAGAGAGACTATGGGAAAGGTCTCATGATATGGATGTCACCTTTGGTGCCAAGCACAAACTATGACATAGTCCAGGGGTTTTCAACTTTTTGGGTCAGTGTACCCCAGTGGCTGGATGCCGAGCAAAAGGGTGGGAGTGGTGTGCAGCCGGACACCGAGTGGATGGGGGGGGGAGGTGGTGCACGGCCGAATGCGGAGCAGCGGCAGCTGCTGTGTGTGACCTTCCCCCACCCCCAGCATCTGGCCGGGTGGGCGGTGCCTGTGCAGGATGGTGTATGGCAGCATTCCATCCCTGCCCACCTGCACATAACCCCCTAGGGCTGTCTCAAGAACTCCCAGGGTTATGCATACCCCCAGCTGACAACCACTGACATAGTCAATCACGTGCCAGTGCTTTGATCAGGGGTGCTTCCATGATGTCTTCCATTTGTTGCTTTGGTGGAATAAGGAATTTATGATGATAAGATGATGTCCTGAAGACTTGCTCAGGAGAAGAATTCCATTTAAATTGACTTTTCCACCCCTTACTTTCCACGGGTTCTTGTCCATAGAATCCCTTCCCATTCTAGCATTGAAATCATTAAGAAGAATTATGTTACCTTCTTCAGAGACCAAAGTCAAGACTTGGTCAAGTTTAGAATAGAATTCTTCCTTTGTTTCACCATCTGCATCAAGTTCACTGCACATAAGCCACTTTCAAAATTGCCCAAACTGGTGTAAGATAAACCTATATGGATGTGGTATCAAACTTAACTGATTTAGGATAAATCAGTTTATTGAACTTCTGTCCCAGATCTGCTCCAGATTCAAGTTCATAGATTTCATAGACATTAGGGCTGGAAGGGACCTCAGAAGATCATCGAGTCCAGCCCCCTGCCCAAGGGACAGGAAATCAGCTGGGATCACAGGATCCCAGCAAGATAAACATCCAAATTTCTTTTGAAGGCGTTCAAAGTATGTGCTTGAACCACCTCCGATGGCAGGCTATTCCAGACCTTGGAGGCTCGGACAGTAAAGAAGTTCTTCCTTATGTTCAGTCTGAAACGGTCTTGAAGGAATTTATAACCACTTGACCTTGTCATCACTTGGGGCACTCTGGTGAACAAATGTTCCCCCAGATCCTAGTGAACGCCCCTTATAAACTTATAGGTGGCCATCAGATTGCCCCTGAGCCTGTGCTTTTCCAGACTGAGGAGTCCCATAGCTGTCAGCCTCTCATCGTAAGGTCTGTTTTCCTGACCTGTGATCATATGCATGGCTGTTCTCTGGACTCTCTTAAGCTTCTCCACATCCTTTTTGAATTGTGGAGCCCAAAACTGGATGCAGTACTCCAGCTATGGCCTCACCAAGGCTGAGTACAATGGGAGAATGACATCCTGGGATTTTTAACTCACAGTTCTCCAGCATCCCAGGATGGTTTGCATCTCCCCACACCCCCCCCCCCAAAGGGTGGTGAGGTAGATTTGGCCCAAGCTATCTGCTTCAGCTGAGCAGGGAGGCATGGTTTAGTACCCACCAGCTTCTGGCCTGGGCTACTGCAAGCATGTGGCTACATTTCCAGAATCAGAAGTGAATGTTTGTTCACTTGCTTATTGGTTCAGTCTACTCAGTCTAGACTAACCTATGAAGATTGAATCGATTCAGCCTTGGGCTTTTTGACTATCTGTATTTAGCCCTGTTGTATTATGGATTTGAACTGGTTTATGATTACTCTTACCAATTTACATGTAATTTTTGACAAAGACAGAAGACAAAGGGTCACAAATTATTCACTGATGCCAAATGCACTTCTCAGCATCTGAGTAATAATCTTCATCTTGACAGCAAAACTAATGCCATGAATATGTTCGTCTCTTATTACTTTTCTTTCCCACAAAAAGGTGTAGCCACCACCATGTTCTGTGAGCTGCCCCTCTCCTGCACATCTGGTCTCACTAAGTGCAGCAATGTCAGTATCAAATTGTGTAAGTTCTCTGATTGTAGATGCTGTCTTTTGCTTTGGATGGTCACTTTTAGGATTTTTCATCAGAGTGCAAATGTTCTAGGCTGAAAACTTTATTACTTGAATTGGACTGCAGTTAGAGTGATTTCATTAGATGTGGTTTTCCAATCAAGTAAAATGAGACAGACTATGCTTAGGCCACCATTTCTATTTCCTCCCCACTGGGGGTGAACAGAGTGGATCCTAAATAGGTCTGCTCATTATTGTATTTGCCAAATTGCACACTGGTCAGTTCCAAGTACAAAACAACCATCATACAATCACTGCCTCTGTCTAGGTACACAAATAGGGACTTCTAGTAATCACTAATATCTTACCCCCATTAAAACTTGCCCAGTGCTG